GTGAAATATTTTCAACAAGTGAATCTAAAAATCAAGTAAATAAAAAATCGGATGAACAGAATAAACTGGTTCTAAAATATAATAGAATCAGGGGCATAGAAAGGGAGTGGACTGACAATTCTCAGGGGGAAAGGAGTGTGGGGGGTGCAGGAAGAGACTGGACAAAAATCGTACATCTATGGATGAGGACAGTGGAGGGGGAGGGGCAAAGGCAGAGAGTGGGGTGGGAACCGGGTGGAGGGGAGCTATGGGGGGAAAAAAGAGGAACAACTGTAATAATCTGAACAATAAAGATTTAATTTAAAAAAGAGCAAGGACCTAAAACCAAAATTACTGTACCCAGTAAAGCTACCATTCAGAATTGAAGGTCAGTTAAAGAGCTTCACAGACAAGAAAAAGCTAAAGGAGTTCATCACCACCAAACCAGTATAACATGAAATGTTGAAGGGTATTCTTTACGAAGAGAAGGAAAAAGAGGAGGAGGAGGAAGAGGAGGAGCAGGAAGAGGAGGAGAAAGAAGGAAAATATGAACAATAAAATGGCGATAAATACATTTCTATCAACAATTGAATCTAAACATCAAAATAAATAAGAAATCTCATGAACAGAATAAACTGGTGAATGAAATAGATCAGAGGCATGGAAATAGAATAGAATGATGATTTTCAGAGGGAAGAGTGTGGGGGGTGGAAAGAGATTAAACAAAGATCTCATATGCATATATGCATTACCTATGGACATAGATTAGTGGTTGGCAAACCAAGGCTCGCGAGCCACATGCGGCTCTTTGGCCCCTTGAGTGTGGCTCTTCCACAAAATACCATGTGCGGGCACCCATATACAGTGCGATAGAAACTTCGTGGCCCATGTGCAGAAGTCGGTTTTCAGCCTGGGCAAGTCTATTTTGAAGAAGTGGCGTTAGAAGTAGTGGGTATACAAGACGAGTGTGGACGGAAGAGTTGGAAGGGGTCGACCTCCGCTAACGTACCTCAATTAGATTGAGGACGTTTTTAGCAAAGCCCAGCTTAGGAGTACCCTAATTAAGTTAATAACAATGTACCTACCTATATAGTTTAAGTTTAAAAAATTTGGCTATCAAAAGAAATTTCAATCGTTGTACTGTTGATCTTTGGCTCTGTTGACTAATGAGTTTGCCGACCACTGACATAGACAATAGGGTGGCAAACATCTGGGGTGGGGCGGGAACTGGGTGGAGGGGAAAAAGAGGGGCATCTATAATACTCTCAATAATAAAGATTTTTTTAAAAAATTTAAGTACATATACAAATGTGTATATTTACTTATTTTTAAATTTTAAATAATCATGCATTATTTGTATAACTTGAACCCTTAAAACTTAATTTTAAGATAAATGGCTTCAAAACTCACTTTTGTGATGATGACTTCTTGCTTCTGGCCAAGTCTATGGCATCTGTCAAAGCATTGATCTTCAGCAGCTGGATTCCAGGCCTAATAAACAGAACATGATCTGCTTTATTTCAGTATTCATTCACCATTTTCCCCCCATATTTTTAACCTTCATCCGAGGATATGTTTTCATTAATTTTAGAGAAGAAGGTAGAGGAGGAGAGAGAAAAATATTAATGTGAGAGAGAAAAATATTAATGTGAGAGAGAAAAGCACCAATGTCCCCATCACCATCCCAGTATGCACCATGACCAGGGATCAAACACACAACCTGTGTATGTGCCCTGACCAGGAATCAAACCTGCAATCTTTTGTGTACAGGATGACGCTCCAACCAATTGAGCCACAAATACTGACATTATAAATACTGTGGGACAAAGAATCCACACTCCCCACCTGGCTGGCATGGCTCAGTGGTTGAGCTTCAACTTATGAACCAGGAGGTCACGGTTCAAATCCTGTTCAGGGCACGTGCCCAGGTTGCCATTTTGATCCCTAGTGTGGAGCATGCAGGAGGCAGCCAATCGATGATTCTCATCATTGATGTTTCTCTCTCTCTCTTCCTCTCTGAAATCAATAAAAATATATTTTTAAAAATCTACACTCCCCTCAGACTTCCAAACACTACTTTGATAGGCAAGTACTCTCCCCAATAGTTTCACCTCAGTACTTCGTAGTATTTAATGCAGGGCCTGATACAAAGAAAGCACACAGTGTAAATGATTGTTGATTAATCACATAATATTTTCTAATTTCCCCCCATTTTAAAGTAGAACTATGTCTGTTTAACAGAGAGAAAAAAAGTTTACATATCCTTTTAAATAACTTAATTTGTATAAGAAAAGAGGTAATAGGGTCCACTTATGAAAAACTTTTTTCTCCTTTTGCTGGTCTTTGGTGTGTTTTTTTTTTCACTTTCCTCCACTCATTAAAAAAACAAAAAAGATTTCAGGAATAATCAAAAGTCCAAAAAATTCAGATTTTATTGATGGAATTTTCTTTCTTTTTTTTTTTCTTTTCTTTTTATCTTGAAATTCTTTATTAGTTAAGGAATTACAAATGTGTCATCATCCCCCCCATTAACCCACATCCTCCTCCCCCGCCCACTCATGCTCTCATCGCCCTGTTGTCCATGTCCATTGGTTTGGCTTATATGCATGCATACAAGTCCTTGGTTGATCTCTTCCTCTTAATCCCACCCTCCACTACTTTCCCTCTGGGGATTAATAGTCTGATTGCTATTTCTCTGTCTTTGGATCTGACCCTGTTCATCAGTCTATGTTGTTCTCTATATTCCACAAATGAGTGAGATCATGTGGTATTTATTTTTCTCTGACTGGCTTATTTCACTTAGCATAATGCTCTTCAGTTCCATCCAAGCTGTTGCAAAAGGCAAGAGTTCCTTCTTTTGTAGCACAGCGTAGTATTCCATTGTGTAGATGTACCACAGTTTTTTAATCCACTCATCTGCTGATGGGCACTTAGGCTATTTCCAAATCTTAGCTATGGTGAATTTTGCTGCTATGAACATAGGGGTGCATATATCCTTTCTGATTGGTGTTTCTGGCTTCTTGGGATATATTCCTAGAAGTGGGATCACTGGGCCAAATGGGAGTTCCATTTTTAGTTTTTTGCGGACGCTCCATACTGTTTTCCACAGTGGCTGCACCACGCTGCATTCCCACCAGCAGTGCAGAAGGGTTCCTTTTTCTCCATTTCCTTTCCAACACCTGTTGTTTGTTGGTTTGTTGATGATAGCCACTCTGACAGGTGTGAGATGATAACGCATTGTCGTTTTGATTTTCATCTGTATCTATATTTGAAATCAGTTTGACTTCAAAACTGAACTAAAAAAGTAACATTAGCTCTAACGTAAGAATTGTCATGGAAACTGTCTTATGGTGAAGAATAAAACAATGAATCAATTAAAAAGGAAGAATAACCAAAAAGATACAAAGTTCTGCAGTCTATAAAGATAGGGAGGGGAAGAAAATGGCAGCCAAATAGGCAGACATGTCATGCATCTTCACCCAGGGCCAGACTGGAAAAAGCAACTAAATTGGAGAACATCCACTCAGAATTATCAAATTAGAAACAGCTGAGAAAATAATTTTCAATAAGGAAGGGCAAAGGATGCTTGGAGAATGGTAGGAGTGGGGATCTGTGCTAGAGAGGGATGTCTGACCTCTATGCCAAGGTGAGGTGGAAGCTGCATTGCACCAAAGCAGCGTCACCTTAGCAACAGGCATAATACCCAATTGTGAAAAAGTAAAAACCCCAAGGCTGCTAGTGCCTGGGCAATTTACCTGGGATCACAGTCGCAGGGAGCTACACCCCAAAAGACAGCCTGAAAAGCAACCCAAGTGGTTCAGTGCCATGGGGAGAGAAACCCACAGTTACGTGGTTGTTTTGCTTTTGTTTTGTTTTGTCTTTTATTTGCTAAACCCAGATTATAGGACTTTTCAGTTAAAAAAACTCACCCTAGGCTCTGGTGCAGGGAGAGGTATAGATTTGTAGAGCCCGAGGAGAGGCAGGGTAGTGAGACCTGGCCAGACTCTTCCTAACTCTCTAAACCAGCGGTTCTCAACCTGTGGGTCGCGACCCCTTTGGGGGTCGAACGACCCTTTCACAGGGGTCGCCTAAGACCATCGGAAAAACACATATATACTTACATAGTGTTTTTGTGATGAATCACTATGCTTTAATTATGTTCAATTTGTAACAATGAAAATACATCCTGCATATCAGATAGTTACATGACAATTCATAACAGTAGCAACATTACAGTTATGAAGTAGCAACGAAAAGAATTTTATGGTTGGGACACAACATGAGGAACTGTATTTAAAGGGCCAGAAGGTTGAGAACCACTGCTCTAGGCCCACTCACACCATACATGTAATTCTAAAGGAACTCCTTAATGCAATCTTCCATGCAGTGTCAGTTACTTTAGAAGCATCATGGAAAATAGAGTTGCTAAGACATTAAAAGTGCAATATTCCAATTTTTAAAAAAGGCAAACG